TAGGAATCAATCACTCTCCCTGGACGCAATGATTGTGCATTCAGGGAGAGTGTTTTCTAACCGCATGTAATATCACATAAGATTACATGCGGTGTGCAGGCGTTTACATGCAGCTGCTGTCACCTGATCATTAACTTGAATAGGTGATAGCTGCCACTTGTAAATGCCAGATTAGGGATTCCTGATGCAGTAAAACGCAACTTTCTGATGCAGGAATCCCTAATCGCACCTAAACCTACAGATATGAAAGGGGGCTTATTGTGAGTGTATATTAGTGTCTGTAGTACCAAACCGGTTACCAAATAGTTATATTTTATTTTAAAGTATGAGATTTGGCAAGCAGCCCCCAAGAGAGAAAAAATGTGTTGAGTGGCCCCTGAGACGGAAGAGGCAGGGGGCGAAGACGGAGCTCCAGTCGGGCGGCGAAGATAACAAGGAGGCCGTGTCGGGCACCAAGGATGAGGAGGCGGTGTTCCAAAGAGGTCAGGCCGTGCAAGGTAAGAGGACTGTACTGGCAGAACCCATCATAGATTCTGCACAGCCCACCAAAGAGTCTCAGGTGGGCTGTGCAATACCCTTTGGTGGGCTCTGCAGGATCCAGGCAGCCTGAGACCCTGCAGAGCCCACCAGAGATCCTTCACAGCCCACCTGGGACCCTGCAGAGCCCACCATAGATCATATAGAGCCCACCACAGACCCTGTAGAGCCCACCTAAGATCACAGCCTGGTGGGGTAAATTTAGTGTGTGTGGGGGGGGGGCCCGAGTTTTGTCTTGCCTAGGGCAGCCCCAAACCTAAATACACCACTGGATTAGTGTACTTGACATTTGTGGAATTCTATTTTATTTCTGTCCAGGTTTTAGAACGTTCCAACCTACACAAGGATTCTTACCGTCACAAATAATACAAACAGCTGTCACGTCATCCGATCTGTACACACTTCGGAGACAAAGATACAATTTCTACTTCTCCAGAAATACCTCGCTTAGGAAGTCAGGGCACTGGGGTCACCCATCTGCGGCTCTGAAAGGTTCACTTTCCCTCCTTTGTATACAGGTGAAACTCGAATAATTAGAATATCGTGCAAAAGTAATTGCAGTAAGTGCTGCAAAAGGGGCCCAAGCCAAGTACTGAGTACATATGCATGCTTGTACTTTTCAGAGGTCCGATATTCTTTTATGTACAATCCTTGTTTTATTGATTGCATGTAATAATCTACTTTTTTGAGGTTGTGGATTTGGGGTTCTTGGGGTTTTCATGAGCTGTAAGCCATAATCATCACAATTATGACAAATCACAGCTTGAATTATCTTGCTTTGCATGTAATGAGTCTATCTCATATATTAGTTTCACCTTTTAAGTTGCATTAGTGAAATAAATGAACTTTGCACGATATTCTAATTATTCGAGTTTCACCTGTACATGTGTTTTATTAGTAGTGTAGTAACAGACTATGAAAAGACAACCGCCTACACCATGTTTTTTGTAAACTATACAAAGAATGACATGACTGTAACATGTAAGCTGTTAACTCAATGAAGCTGTAAATAGGATGCAAGAAAAAAAACAAGGCAGCAAACCATTTGTGTTATCTGCAGCCTTGAATCTTACCTTCGCTGTCAGCATGAGTTAATGAGGATTTGGTCCTATAGGAAAAATTTGGAATTTTTTCTCGATATTCCTCCGCAGAACCAATTAACTGTTTAATAACTGTGCCTGAGTAGTTGGAAAGTGGAAACCTCTAAAAAAGGTGAACATGTACTTTGCACAGGAGAACAGACAAACAGACATCTGTCCATGCCTTGTCTCAATGCAAATCTGCAGATGACTCAGGCAGTGAATGCTCCCTGAAAGGGTTGGGAGCGTCTCTGAGCAATGCCTTTCCAGTGCAGGTTATGCTGCGTTCTAGGGGCATATTCTGACTGACTGCACTGACTGACCTAAAGACAGGTACATTTGGTGGCTTACTTTTAGTAGTTTGGTTTGTCTGGGCACTTCTGCGTTTCTCTGGGGGAGGAGGAGTGATAGGAGCAGCACGACGGGCCTGAGGGGGAACCTACAGAGAGAGTAAAAATGTCACATCGGTACACTACAAGAACAGAAAGTATAAAAAGCAACTGCAAAAACTTAGTAAAGCCACTTGATGAACTGCTAAGGTCCTGGCCTGCTCTCGTCCCACTCCCGTTCAACGTGGCCTGCTCTCGTCCCACTCCCGTTCAACGTGGCCTGCTCTCGTCCCACTCCCCAGCTCAAACCAATACAAGCTTTTGCATACCTGGTAGGCGATGTCTTCCTTAGACGTCACCTCAGAGTTGGGTAAACTCATGTGACGGTCAAAACCACTCCGACATACACCGTTAGGCTGGCGGCCAGAATCCAAGTGGTAGTCGCTGGATGAGATGGTCAAGGAGTTTGATTGGCTGGTCGGTGAATGGGTTTTCCGAGACTGGGTCTCCTTCCTATGATGGATAAGTTTTCTATAAAAAAAGGAAAATAATGGTCAATGCATAAAAACAAACAACTGTGCCACAACCAATATTTAGGTACACATTAAAATAAAATCATCAAGAAAGACAACTGGGCACATAAATACAGGGATCCTACCTTTGATGTCCACAAGTATTTGTTAAAGGGTAGCCATAGCCAAACAGCTAAACACACAATGGTCCTTCCTAAAGATGAAGAAGTGAGCTACATACTGCTATATAGTACTAGGTGGGTGAAATCACTCTTCACTATGCAAACTCTAGGCCCGATAAACTATTCTTTTTACTATTTTTTCGAGGGCACGTGTAATATACACTCAACATGCTCCAAATCAATCAACACATTAACCCTTTGTTGAAAATGATTTGAGACAGGTACTCCAAAAAGGACTGTCGCAGTTTCTCTGGCCTATAGATTAATATATGGGATACAATGTAGCGTAAATATTAGTCGCAGGACTGCGTCTGGGCTGGCCAGGCGCAGATCTGCACATTGGGACAACTCCCTCTGATAAGTGTCCGTATAGGGCTTCCTTCTCCCTCTGCCTAGATGACCATAGGGGAAGAGGAAGCTGGGACATTCCCTGTCAGACACTCATAGGGAGTGGCCAGCTCTTTGTCGGTCTGCTGCCTGCACTTCTCTCTCCCCCGGTATCACTTCCTGATCACAGGGGAGAGGTAGAGAAAAGCGATTCACTAAGCTGCTATAGCTCACTGTGTGACTCCCTGCACAGTGACAGAACACCGGGCTGTGCTCTGTCTGCCTGATCTTTGTGCAGACCTCAGTGCAAAAATGCTACCAGTCCCCAAGAGATAGAAGAAACGGTCAGCAGGTTTAAGTCCTCATTCACACAGCGTAGAGCAGGGGCCGTACAGATCCCTGCAGCATGCACGGCCACATCGGGCCATTCCCGGGAGGAAGCAGCTTGTTCTTCTTTATGGGAGGATTCGGCCGTACGCACACCCAAGCTGCACATCCGTGCGGGTGTCCATACCCGGATGCAGACAGGATGGATCCTGTGAGCGTCTGAACACAGGAACCCGAATGGATGTCCAGTTCGGGTGTGTGTATATAACAGCATACGGCCGCGTCCTCCCATGGGGAAGAACAGGCGGATGCAGCCCAACTCTACACTGTGTGAATGAGACCTTACTCTCTAGTATCTACGAAACACTGATATCAGTTCTGGATGGACCGACCCTTAAACAAATTATGCGTTCATTGTTGTCCCTCTAAAGCAGCAGCATTTACAGGGCTTGTAACTTGTTTGGCTGGTGGCTTTCCGAAGAGTCTCTTTATTGTGTCTCTGTCTGCTGCACTTACTGCAGAACATCTCTTTGCTCCAGGTTGTACTTGCCAGCGTTCTTCATGGCGGCGTTGTGTATGGCCTCGATGGCTCGATCAATGGACTGGAGAACCACGTCTTGTTCCTGCACCTGGAAATGGAGAGACACGGTGTTATCAGGAGCGTGTGCTGCACAACACAATATCCAGCTGAAACCCACGTCTGTGAAAATATCAATATTTAAAACATCGCTGCCAATAAAGTACATTTAATGGGAAAAAAAACGATCGATGCCTCCAAATTAATCAAATAGAAGACCTAGCATCAGATATATTTATCTTTCTAGTTAAGTAAAGTACATGCATGCTAAGAAATGTGTAAGTGTAACACTCCCAGGTATCTATAGACAGAATACAGGGATACATTAGGACTGGTCTGGAGATGATGCGGACATGGTGTGAATGGGCCCTTAAAGGGAAACTACAGTCTTTTAACAGCCCTCCTTGCTGCATAGTGACAGAACCCATCCCAAACTGAAATACCAGCTCTCGGTGAAGTGCCAACACAGTGGCTTAGTGGTTAGCACTTCTACCTTGCAGCACTGGGGTTTCCTGGTTTGAATCCTGGTCAGGACACTATCTGCGGAGAGTTTGGATGTTCTCCCTGTGCTTGCATGGGTTTCCTCCCATACTCCAAAGTTCTAAATCGGCCCTGCATGTGTGAGATAGGGAGCTTAGATTGCAAGTCCCTTAAGGGGAAGGACCGATGTGAATTTGCAGGATGTAAAGCACTGTGTAAACTGGCGGTGCGATTTAAATACCTATATTAAATAAGTGACCTTGTTGGCAAGTTTTAGTGGAAATATTCAGCCAATTTTAGGAGGAACATACATACACACTGAAGAGTCCAGTTTGCCTTTTGCCGGAGCCAAAATGGTGTGGCCCCTTTAGACGAGTGAGAAGACACGGAGACCCTCAATGTAGCAATCAGAGTTCTGTTTTCTCTGCACACAAAGCAGATAAGGGACCGGTGGCCATCGCAGTGAACGCACTGACATTTAAGACACAGTAGTGTTTCTTCAGTAACTGTGGCAACCAGTCACTTTGCAGCCCCATTGCTGCTGAATTTGTCCGAGCTATTCATGTATTTGCTTTTTTTTAACCCAGCAAGGCAAATTCAAAAGGAAGCCGGGCACATCGTACCTGCGCACGTCTATGTGAAGGAAGACATTTAAAGGTCAACATCAAAAGGTCTGGTTGCTGAAGTCAGAGGGAGACTCAACCCAACTCGTGTTCCACTTTGGATGCAGCCGACAAGCAGGCAAAAGAAGAAAAAAAAAAATGAGGCCACTCTTTTTGGTCACCGGCTTGTTCTGCGCATGCGCGCCATCTTGGAGGTGAGGTGGATGACATTGTACGCATGTATGGGTGCCGCCATCTTGGACGCAGCAAGATGGCGGTGCCCATAAAAAACGAATGAATATTTGCCTGAATATAGTTTTTTCATATGTTTGGGCATATAATAATTGTTATTTCAGATTCGGACGAACTGCTGAATCAACGGAATTTCATGATTCAGCAAGTTCATCTGAATGCACACGTTGTTTGCTTGTGTCTCAAATACTTTTCTTCCTCATACAAGTCAATGTGTTAGCAAAAATAGCTCAGATGAAGTAAGAGCAAGTCAAAGCAAATTATACAAAACAAGTCAAAGCAGCAAACAAAAAAATTAAAAAAATACAGCATTTAATTTCCGAGTCTGACCCCAGTGTACATGAAGCCTTAAAATGCCAACAGTTCCCCTTTGAGGGCATTTATACAATGCTGACATTATGCAGCAGTTCAAAGAGTACAAAGAATCACTCACATCGGTCTCTGCTCCACATTTACACCACAGTTAAGCTGGCCATACACTGCTCAAATTTTGGTGTGTGGCCCCGTCGGCACCCCTCGGGGTGACAAAAGCTGATTTTTCAATCTGCTTTTGTTAAAGGAGCTGGTCCAAAAATTCTCAGCTGAACAGTGACTGCAGTCAAACATGTGCCGTTAGTATTTGGGTACTTGACAGCAGCACCTCTAACGCTTTCAGAATATATGAGGGGGTTGTGGATTCACTATGGGAAGAAGGCAAGCTGGCGGAGGCTTTGGGCAATGTACTGCTGGGAAACCTTGGGTCCCACCATTCACGTGGATGTTACTTTGACACGTACCACCACCCACATAATGTGCCCTGCCACACTGCAAGAATGGTTCAAGAATGGTTCGAGGAACACAACAACAAGTTTACAAGTTTGGAGGTGTTGCCTTGGCCTCCAAATCTCAATCCAATAAAGCATGCATGGGGGGGTGCCACACTGATTTAAAATAGATGGGGGAATCAAGCGTTTTTTCAAATAAAGAGTGTATGGCCTGCCTTATACAGACACAAAATCTAGGGAAAGTCAAATAACCCAACAAGATGCCGCTGTACTTTGAAAGGGAACAAATTCTTAATACACACAAAATGGGAAAACATACGTAGTCCATGTAGATTTGGTGACTGGTGGGAACCCAACCTAGGACAAAGCAACAGTGCTAACCATTAAACTACCATTAACTGACTCCCCCTAAAATACATCGATCAGCCATAACATGACCACTGAGAGGTGAAGTGAATAACATTGATTATATGGTTACAATGACACCTGGAAGTGAGGGGGATATATTACAATGACACCTGGAAGTGGGGGGGGGGGGGGGGGGGGTGATAGGGGGGGGGATATATTAGGCAGCAAGTGAACATTTTGTCCCTGAAGCTGATGTGTTGGAAGCAGGAAAAATTTCCAAACGTAAGGATTTGAGCAACTTTGACGAGTCAAATTGTGATGGATAGATGACTGGTTCAGAGCAACAACTCCAAAAACGCAGCTCTTGTGGGAAGGTCCCCGGTCTGCAGTGGACAGGACCGACCAAAAGTGGTCCAAGGAACGTAAACCGGTAAACTGGCGACAGGGTCGTGGGCAGCCAATGTTCACTTATGCACCTGGGAAGCGAAGGCTGGCCCATGTAGTCCGATCCAAAAGAAGAGTTCAAATTGCTGAATAAGTTAATGCTGGTTCTGATAGAAAGGTGTCTGAGCACACAGAGCAACGCAGTTTGTTGTGTATGAGGCTGTGTAGCCGCAGACCAGTCAGGGTGCCCAAGGTCTAGTGGAGTCCATACTTAATGGGTCAAGGCTGATTTGGTGACAGAAAGGGGACTACTCAATATTAGGTGGGTGGTCACAATGTTATGGCTGATCGGTGTAAACATTGGGGACACATTAATATCAAATTCAGGAGCCAACAGGATTTTTTTTAAGGAATATTGGCTGCCTGGCTCCTGGGATATGTTCAGCCCTTATCCTGATTATATATCGAGATCAAGAGAGATATGTGTATATATATATATATATATAAATGATGGTATCCCTTATAACCCCTCTTCCTTTTTAAATGCAATCCATGGAAAGCGGGGAGGCACACATGCATGACACAATGCAATCATGTTGCTTTATTACCTAACATTGCTGACACATTATACCGTTTCCATTTGGATTGTATCTCTCGAACACACGCAGACATTCCGGAGAAAGCAGCTGCCTCCAAAATGTGAATATGTTCAGACATGATTTGAAAATAAACTTGTCGTCTTGTTAAAAATAACGCAGCCACTCGGTCCCCGAGCTGGTGATGGGCAAGAGATTGGCGATAAACGACGAAATGAGGGAAAGGAGAGGGGAAAAAAAACAAACCAGAGGGGATATAATCCTATCACGATGGGAGAGACAAGCAGAACACAGCTAGAGGCAATCTACGCAGGCTGGAGGAATCTCAGAGGTTCTGTCCATGACATTCTGCAAGGCTGGGGAGAGTCTTCTTGTATTTGATGGCCTGTCAGCACCGTGACATGCGGCTCTGCAATTTAGGCCGCCGAAGAAGTACAGAAATCTCTGTAAGAGCTTTAGAGACGGTCTATTCAGACCGAACGCCGAGTGATACAAAATTCAATAACCTGTAAAGCGGAGACCTAATTACTTGTGTCTGCTCTTTTATACCATTCGGGGTGGGGGAGAATGGGGGAATCAGATGACATCCTGCGCCTGCAGGACGCCTGTTCAGGGCGATGTAGTAGGCACTACACACCATGAACATTACAGCAAGAGGTGGAAAATATCCATCTGCGTCCAAACAATCCTGTGATGCAAAAAAAATAAAATAAAACAAAATTAAAAAATAATGAAGGATTAAGTTGTAAACTTTCACCTCCGACCATCACAAGCTCTCAATATGGCTCCTTATAACACAGAAAGGGGCTCAACTGTTGCAAGATCAAAACTGATATTGGGGAAATAAGGGTGCCTTAAAAGCAACAGTCCACTTAAAAACTGATGCCTTCTGTTGATTTCCTGTGCTGTGCTCAGTGGTTTCTGCTGACCTCTTTTCTCTTCAGACTGGCCCCAATATACATACTGTATGTGCATATGATATTGTAGCCATTGTAACAGCAGTGACCTGAATCATTTACAGGGTTATCCACCAGAGAGTGAAGAGTTTGGAGAAGGACGGAGAAGTGAACAATCTAGGCCAACATTGCTGATTTGGAAACATTCTCCATTTTAGCTCACTTTCCAGTTCAGCTATGTTGTCCTAGATTGGTCACTTCTCCTGCTTTCTCCAAACTCTTCACCCTTTTCGTGAATAACTCAGTTAGTGTTCTTGATAAAGCACTGTGCGAAAAGAGCCAGTGCCATATGCACAAATAAAAAATACAATCTGCAAAAAGCCCAACCTATGGGTGACTATGCTATATTTTAACACAACTCTTACCGTAAGGAACCCTTTTCATAACTGCAGCTTGAATGTCTTTCCTGAAAGGGTAACGGTGAAAGGGCAGACCTAATCTGAAAACCATACCCCTACCCTGGTTTGGTTCTTAAGTTTGGATACAATGAAAGAAAAAAAATGCCTGTCTTGGAGATCAAGTTGCTCCTTGATGCCACAGAAGCTGGTCACACCATCAAATTTTTACTCGTGTCCACAGCATAAATGAGCAGTATTTTCCATAGGGGACAAGTCAAAATACATGTCATGCGCCTTTACTGTCCAAGTATAGGCCGAGGATAGGTTGGTGACCAAGCTGTATTGCAGAAGAGAGAAGTAAGGTCACTGACCCACCTATGCTGTCCGGTAAGGCCCCATTCACACTGAGCGACATGAAAATCGCGCGATTTTCTGCACGATTTTATATGAGCGATTTGTCGCGTGACTTTTTCCTATTGGGCTGTATGCAATCAGGAGCAAAATCGCTCGAAAAAAGGGTCATGTAGGAGCTACAAGCTACCAGCGACGAGCTACAAGCGATATTGAGCAACGAGATGTGAACAGCTCCATTGAAAACGGATTGGAGAAGCTACATAGAGCGATATCACGTGGAAATATGAGCGATATCGCTGCAAAAATCGCTCGATAAATCGCTCAGTGTGAATGGGGTCTAAAGGGTATCAGTCTCGCAAGATCTGATGAACAGAATTTAAAATCCCAGCTGGAAAAAAAAGTTACAATTTATATATCAACTTTGTATTTAAGCTTATAAGTCACATTTATAATGTTTGCACACACACGCATATCTATCTATCTATATTCGTATAAACTAATTGAAAGGCCAATTATCAGACTGCTAATGTTGCGGGAGTCGTGTTCTCCAGCAAGGGATATCAGCCGATTTTCCCTTATAGCAGGTCTTGGCAGAGGATCGATAATACACTAAAGCAGCTGCGGAACATGAGCTGCCTCCAGCAGTTCTCAGGTCTGCGCTCTGCTGGGAGGGCTCGCTGTCAGAGTTTATAAGGGGGGGAAAATAGAAAAAGAAAACACAGGGGAAATGGAGAGCTTTACCTCTACATGCAAAGGATTATTACTGAATTCCTGGAGACATCATCATCATCATCATCATCATCATCATCATCATCTGTGGGTCATGATCAGGAGGAGAGTGAATACGAGGAAATGTACAGACACAAGGCATAAAAAAAAGAGAAAAGTAGAACATGGAGAGATCTTCATTAAGGATAAGGTTCGGGTTCTCCACTACAATGGGTTCAAGGTGAATGCTGCAAGTTTGAGATCTGTGGTCCTGGAGAATTTATGTGCAGCTACACCTGGGAGAATGTGTTCAACCATAATGCACTACATGACCATTGCACTATGGCCAGTAGGCGCAGAAGGGTCAATACTGGGGGCTCTAGTTAAGCTAGCACCTTCACTATAAAAAGAGGGGTGCAGAACAACCACAATGTTAGTGCATTGGAAGCTGCTGTAGGGAAAGGATAGGGAAAGCTGATAAACTGCATACGGAGAGCTTAGTGTCAGGTAGGAAACTGTAGAGAGAAGAGTGTGCTCCTAAACCACCTCACATTATATCCCTCACATTTACCCCACCCCCCATCCCCATAGTAAAAAGTTAGGCAAACACTGGTTAGGCCTACTAACCCTAAACAAACTGTCCTGCTGCTGCCCAATTGTACACTGCTGTATCGTATGTTGTCTTTTTTACTGTTGTGTAATCTGTGGTCTTTTATTTCTTGCAGTGAAACACCTACAGTCAGTCTCTAGTACATTTTAGATAGATTAAAGTAGTCACTCGCACTCCATGATATTAAAGCCAATGCTGTTTATTGACTGAGATAACACACATCTCCTTAGCGACGTTTCGAGACCATGCGGTCCTGTCCTCAGGCAAACAGAGAGGACGGGACCGCATGGTCTCGAAACGTCGCTAAGGAGACGTTTGTCATCTCAGTCAATAAACAGCATTGACTTTAATATCATGGAGTGCGAGTGACTACTTTAATCTATCTACATTTCACAGAGGCATCCGTTGTCACCACCGCGCCCACCCAGTTGGGTTTGGGTTTTTGTCCGGTCAGGAGTGCGATGGGACAGGAGGATTAAGTTTCTAGTACATTTTAGTCTGTTATCCCCGATTAAAAAACTGTCCTGGTACTGAACAATTTCACACTGCTGTATCCTCCGGCCGCATCCTATTTCCTGCAGTAAAGCCTCAGCCTGTGCTCTTTATCTCTAGTAAATTTGGGCCTGCTATTTAAAAAAAGTCCTTCTGCTGTCCAATTCTATGCTGTTGTATCATCTGCGGTCTCTTAATTCTAGTCGTAAAACACATGCCTATACCTTTTATTTTCTAGTACATGCCAACCAATACATACATGTTAGTAGGGAGATATATAAATATAACCATTGATACTACTGGGATTTGTACAAGTCATTCTGAATTGAGAAAGCTGGTTGGATGACCAGTGAAACGTCTTCCAGAAAAATACAGCAAGTCCAGTTGCCTTGACTTTTTTTTTTTTTTTTTACAGAAATACCATGTGACCTGGATGAATGAGAACCTTCACAGTTACTACAGTGATAGCAACATTGATATGCTCATTCTCCCCAGAATTGTAACATTGTATCGCCTTACAAACATGTATTTATTGCCTATAATACTCAGCTCCTTTTGATGCGGTATTTCCCAAATTCCTTCTTTATGAATACAGTATAGCTATAGAAGAACATTCGAACAAAAGAGACATTACACTAAGAACATTTGTTTATGCTGGTTAACTAGCATAGAATGAATGTATATATACAGTGGGGCAAAAAAGTATTTAGTCAGCCACCAATTGTGCAAGTTCTCCCATTTAAAAAGATGAGAGGCCTGTAATTGGCATCATAGGTAGACCTCAACTATGAGAGACAAAATGAGAAAAAAAATCCAGACAAATCACATTGGCTGATTTGGAACCAATTTATTTGCAAATTATGGTGGAAAATAAGTATTTAGTCAATATCAAAAGGTCATCTCAATACTTTGTTATATATCCTTTGTTGGCAATGACAGAGGTCAAACGTGTCCTGTACGTCTTCACAAGGTTGGCACACACTGTTGCTGGTATGTTGGCCCATTCCTCCATGCAGATCTCCTCTAGAGCAGTGATGTTTTGGGGCTGTCGCTGGGCAACACGGACTTTCAACTCCCTCCCAAGATTTTCTATGGGGTTGAGATCTGGAGACTGGCTAGGCCACTCCGGGACCTTGAAATGCTTCTTACAAAGCCACTCCTTCGTTGCCCGGGTGGTATGTTTGGGATCATTGTCATGTTGAAAGACCCAGCCACGTTTCATCTTCAATGCCCTTGCTGATGGAAGGAGGTTTGCACTCAAAATCTCAATTAAGTGGGAGAACTTGCACAATTGGTGGCTGACTAAATACTTTTTTGCCCCACTGTATGTTTGCAAAATGTTTATGAATAGACCCCAAAGTCTATATCTATAATATAATATATTGCAGAATACCAGTCCTTAGATGTGGTGGCTGCATTTATTTTGATAAGCCACTGTAATTGCGTGCATTTTTTTTTCTTTTTCCATTTTTGGCTGAATTACGTTGCTCCGAAGGCATCACATAGTCTGTTTAGCATTTGAACATTCTTTCCATGTAGCACAAGTAACATGCGTGTCTCCTCCCGCTGTCCCTAACCCGCCGCGGCACCCAACGCCGTGCAAACATCCCGCTCAAGCATGCCCATGCAGAACTCCTTGATTAATCTCTAACATTAATTAGCACTTCACGGGACCGTTACATCCGTTTCTGCAGAGAAGCAAATTAGGCCGGATTAATAGAATATGGAAGATCCACTGCTTAGCAAAATCAAACCAATGCAGATTTAATCATGGTAATTAATGGTAACGCAGGTACTTTTCTCTTTCATTCATTAGTGTTAGATGAAAGCACAATGGCAGTAAATTTGAGAGGAGATGATTTATTGCTGCGGGACCCCCGGCTCTGTCATCTGTCACTCGTGATGGGATGTGAAGGAGACTGGGAGGAAGACAATAAGCAAATGTAATAAACGGGTACAGAAATATCTCCGTCCAGACTCGCCTTTGTTGGGATAGAAAAATACATTTTCTTTATTCCCTTACAAAGTAACATTGGCCACAATTTTAGCATCTGATTGATAAAACTTCTGCCCAGCCATAAGCTGGGCGAATGCCTTTCGTACAGCATTCCCATTACTAGATGGAGCTGAAGAGCAAAGGATTTCCTGTGCTCCATGGTTCCATCTAGCGGTAGGAATGCCGTATGGCTGGGCAGAACTTTTATAAATGAACTCCTTAGAGCTTGTTCATGCCACTGTGGTGACGCAGTTAAGTTCATTCTAAATGGCACCCTAATGTACATTCCCAGCACACCAAGGAGTTGCTGAAAATGCTGCATGTGTAAGGCAGGCCCATTCAAATGAAAAGGTCGCCTGAATGCAAGGCTTGTTACCACGTGAAGCATGGCACTGAACATAGACCAGGCTGGCGTGAACCCATGCTAAAGGACAGTTCTTGCTTGACAATTGACAATTTAGAAGACAGGATGAAGGTAAG